GTATTATGTTCAACTGAGAAGACAAAGAAATCATACAGAAAAGATGTCCCCACTGCATTAATCAAGGAAGAAATCTCTCTACAGAGATAGAGAAAATACCAGTAGGACTGGAAAGAAAGATAAGAGAGAAATACTCATCCAATACTGAATAATTGGATGCTGGCCTCCTTAAACAGAAACAGCAAGGATCACCTACGCTGCCTGACAGTGCAGTTTTGCTGGTATCTTGAGCAATCCTATATTGACTGATTAAGTAATACAAAGGCACTTGGATGTTTGTTTTTAGACAGCAGTTTCCTTTTGTACTAACAGAGTAGCTAGATGTGTTGTAAAATCACCTTTCTTCTTTATCTCTGAATTTCAGATGTATAATTTTACAAGCTTTGCTATGGCTTTGAATGAGTTGGACAAAGAAATGGAGAGTGTCATTCCCAAAACTGACTGCCGGCTACGACCAGATATCAGAGCTATGGAAAATGGAGAAATAGGTAACTTCATTTATGGGTAAAGGTGGTTTTATTTTTTCTTAAATCTGAGGGACTGGAAAAAAAAGTTCTTAGATGAACAGCTAGAGGAAGTAGTTCCCCATGCATTCCTCCATGATGCCAGGCAGTAACTTTAACACAACCTTCTGCAGGCTGTGTTGAGCTTCTCGTGTCACCCACCCTTACAGGGGACAGTTGGGATGGAGGTAGTCTTCTTCAGTGACCCATATTTGCTGCTGTGGTTTAGACTGGTCTAGACAAGGAAATACTTGTGGACCTTTCAGTTTGTCTGTTTCCACCAGCCTGGTGCAGAGGAAGTGTTTTGTTGTGCCAGTTCTGAGAAATGCAGTCAAAACTATTAAAGTGAAACTGCAATGCCAAAAAATACACTTGATGCAAAATCATACTTCACTGGGAGTTGGAACACCTCTGCTGTCTAGAATAGTGAATTAGAAATACATGATGAGACTTCCAGTGAATAGGAGTAGTGTACTTTTAGACTAATATTAAAGCAGGATGGTGAGCTTTGTAGAATAACACTATGGGGGCTCTCATTTTCTCTGGCTTGCTAACTTATTGGAGCAAGTCATGAAACCCTGATTTGGTTTCAGCTGTATAAGAGGGCAAAAACTGTGAGACTTCTGGTAAGTAGTCTGAGATCTAGCAATAAAAACCAGTGTCATGGTGTAACACAGGGCAGTTGTGCAGTTTCGCTTCTTTTTACTCAGAAGCTGATAACCATTTTTTGAGGCTTTTTAAACAGATCACTGAATTCCCACAACCACTCTCTCCTGCCTGTATAACTGTTGTGTGGCCAAGGTGATGGATATATTTGGTTCAGAGCATCCCTAGTAATTAATTTGTCTTTGTAAATTTAAAGAGCAAATTACTATACTGCTGGCAACAGACCATATTCCTTCATGATACACTAGCAGTGTGAAGTTTGTAGCAGCCAGTAATACACAGTGGGTTAGTAGCTGACAGGGAATGGCTGATAGAAATAGGTAGGGAAATCATTCTTGGAAAATTTGTGTATGAAATGCTTTTAGAGGATTCAGGAAAGTGAGACTGACTTTTATCTAATCTGCTTGTGAGTCTGACTTACTCCTCAGACCTTCTGATCATCCTTTCTGGCAAAGAGAAGCAACTGCTCTGCTTGTTTGGGATGCTATGTTAATGTGTTACCAAAAAAAAAAATAAAATATGCTGCAGAGACAATTCTTTGTAATTTGGAAATAAGCATTCCAAACCTCAGGTGATGAGGAACTAGGTGCTAGTAGCAACTTAATCCAAAATTCTACAAGAAGCAGGTAGGCAGATTTCTGAAATTAATTGATCATATCTTCAGTTTCCCTACTGAAATAAATTCTGTATATGCCACCTCCCTTAGCTCACACTTGCTGTCATGTAAACACATTTCCAGGGTCCTCAGGCCATGGATTAATATATATTTAGCAGTCTTAAAGACTAGGATGCCACTGCCTAATCCTGTGCCACAGCTGGCCTGGCTTTGCTCTTAGACTAAACCAGTAACCTTCAGTATTCTGTAGAAGGCTTTTTAAATGGACATTTTTTACTACTGCCCATTATTTATTTCCTGGGTCAGATAAAGTAATGTCCCTGTTTTACATATTATGTTTTAACATCTTCTGTATTTTTGTGTATTTTTATTCCTTCAAGATCTGGCTAGTGAAGAAAAGAAAAGGCTAGAAGAAAAACAGAGGACTGCCCGCAAAAATCGTTCAAAGTCAGAGGAAGACTGGAAGACGAGGTTGGTGCCCTTGCCTCCTCTGTGTGTCTGTGTGTGTGTGTGTGTGTGTAGTTACATAAAGGCTTTGAACATTCAAGTGACAGTCTCCACTGGTGACATGCAGTGAGTGTTGTGTCAGCATGAAGAGCAGACAGACAGCATCAGGTCTGCAGTTCTGCAGTGCCGCTGTTGTTTGCCGACTTGATCCCAGCGGGATGTAGCAGTTCCAGTGGGAAGCACCAGGCTTGCTCTCAGTTCCTTCCCTCATTGCTTGCACACCCATATGCAAACACAAACTGTTGTCTTCTGTGAGCACTTCTTGGTTCTGACATGACAAAGATGTTACCTCTGACGGCTGCTTGTTGTTGCTGGTTAATTTATAATTGCCTCAAATTATAAAGAGAAAGAAGAAATGCTCCCTCCTTGTGAGCTTGCCCATGATTCCTCAGCCCCATAGCTCTGTGCTGACAATGCTGTGTTCTCAAAGTTTATCATCCACTTATCCAAGACCCTGCCTTCTTATGGAGGGGGACCCCTAACTACAAAAGAGGAGCTAAGGGAAAGTCAGCATAAAAAGGACCTGCCAGAACTTTTTGGGGGTTTTCTTTAAACTATGAGGAGCTAGCTGGGAGCTCTTACACACAAGCTAAGAAATAGTGAAAACCTGATCAGATTAATCTAGTTTGACCAAAGTCTATTTAAAAGCCTAGTAGTGAGTTGGCATTATCTTCTCAGAAAAAACAACAGTAGGGCTAAACTTTAAGTAAGTAAGGTTCCTCTCTTCTCTATTATTAATACAGTCAAACACTTGGGATTAAATACCTTTAACATGTTTGTAAAAATGAATTACTTTTTTTGTTGTTGTTTTTTGTTTGTTTGTTTGTTTGTTTTTTAAAATGAAGTCACCCATCATCCCAAAATCCCAGGTTTGGACATGTCTGCCTTTGTCTTTTTCCTGTGCCTGCTCTCCTGAAGTGTTTGGGTTTGTTTGCATAGAGACTGATGGAGAATAACATCTTTGTAAAGCTTCTATGTGCTGGACAACCTTGCACCTTTTGCTTCCTTTCCTGAATTCAGTGTTTCTAGCTCTCACCAGGTGTTTTCAAAACTGGGATAGTTACACAGTATTCTTCCAGGTGCCTAAAGTAGCTTAAATATAGCCCAAAGCACCTGAGGCTGGAAATTGGGAATTCCCATGGAGCTGTGGTTTTTGGGTTATATAATTAGCACAGATGCCATTCACAAGGTTCTGCAACTGCTGTTGTGCAGATCGTGTAGACCTGTTCAGCATGCATCTGGGATATCCTTTAAGAACTCTTTACTTTCCAGGATGTTTCTGAAGCTTTGGCAGAAAATGCCTGGTGTCTGATCTCTTTAGTAGGAATTCCAGGTGTGGCTGCCTATAAAGGATGACTGTTAAGTTTAGGGAGAGTTGTGCTATGGGGGGGAAAATGTATGCTGTGAAGAAGAACTGTCCTACCTGTTCCCAGGTCATCTGTAGGTTTTATTCTGCAGTGCATTATGAGCTCAGATCTAAACTACTACCATTTCCCTGCCACAGAAAAGCAGGTTTCTTGCTTTGTCTAGTAGAATTCCTCCTTCCTAAGAAAATTCTCCAAAGTGCCCAATTATTTTTTTTAATATATAATTTTATTATTCTGAATCCACTTTGGAAGTGGGGTCTTGGTGTTCAATGTCACTCCAGAGGTGATTAATGTTGAGCACTTAATATTTTAGATGCTGACCAGTAATCTAAAGTCTTGAGTAAAAATATTTAATTCAGTTCTGAAATAGAGCAGTGGTCTGTTAATTTTGATGAAGCCTGTTCCATCTTCCCCACATCACTGACTGGTTTAGGTCTCTCAGACTTAGTTCTTCCCACTGCCTTTCCCCATCCTATTGAAGTAGGTGGACACTGGAGGAGGGGCATTCTGTCCTGACCTGTACAAGTGTTGAGGACACATTAATGAGCTGTGGGGTAGTAGAATTTATTAATCTGAGAGGTGAGGTCACTGTACTTACAGCTCTGTCTCAAGGCAAATGTTTGGCTTTAGCTCTGGAATGAGCTGCTGTCACAAATGAACTGCACACCTAAGCCAATCCATGCACCTGTTATTTGGGAATAGCTGACTCCTCCTGTGGGAGGTGAAGCAGGAGTGAGCTGTGTACTAGGGGTGAATGATTTCTCTTGACTTCAGTTAACCTAAGCACTGGAGTGTTCACATGTTCAGTTACTCCCGGGAAGGCAGCACAAAGCATTTCTTCCAGCACAGCTCTCTCAAGTCCTTTTAGCCAAACAAGACTTGCCTGTTCGCTGCCCTGCTTTGTAACATAACCCTGCAGTATTGGTGGCCTTTAGGCTTTTGCCTTTTAAAGAGATCAAGTCATGTTTGGTTCAAATGTGCTTTTTCTCTTCTGAAACATTATGGTGCTGGAGAAGGGAGGAGCAGAGTTAAACAGTCTGCCTTGCACACAGATCAGTTATTTAAGTGTGGTCACTACAGTGAATCACACAAAGGAACAACTGGCTTCTGTGGTCAGCGAGGAGGTGAAAGGAAGCTGTGGAGCACATTACCACAGAAACAGCTTCTACCAAGCTGGCTTGTGCCATAAATGTGGCTTGGCAAAATACAGACGGAAGTTAAAACGCTTGAGGTCTGGTACTGTGCACAAAATTGAGTAACTGGGCCATACAGAAAGTGGCATTCATTGTGTGCTATATGGTGCCTCCAGATTAAGCAGGAGAAGAAAAGAAAGGAAAGAAATCAGGTGCTCAACATCAGTGTTTCTATTAATAACAAGCTTAGCAAAAGCTTGCAAGTAGCTCCATGCAGAAGCAATCAGCTTTCTGGGAATTCAGATTGAGTCTCCTGCTGCCAACAGTGTAACACAACATAGTTAACTTGTAATAATCCAGAACTCTTCTGCAGCTTGTGGGTGATGTTTCATCCTCACTGAGGGTAGCTGGCAGACTTGTTCCAAGTTACCTGCTGGTCAAACCAAAGGAAAGGAAGCAAATGCACAAGCAGTGGAAACAAGGACGAGTCACCTGTGAAGAATAGAGAGATGAGTTAGATAGGGATGGGGTAAGGAAGGCCAAGGCGAAGCTGGAATTTGGCAAAGTCTGCAAAAAATACCCCAAAAAACCAAAAAAAAAAAAACCACAAAAAACCACAAAGGGCTTCTAAACATTTGTTAACCAGAAAAGAAAGGTCAAAGAAGATGATGGTTTTTAAGGTGCTTTCCAACCCCAGTCACTCTACAATTCTATAATGAAGTACATTGCAAAACAAAGCTTTAAAAAAACAAGGGGTAGTCTAGATCCAGAGATATAATATTATGTTTTCAGGACTGCAGTGCTTGTGGTGTTTACATGTTTTGCCAAAACTGTTACTGCTTGTGCATGCCAGAATGGTTTTTCAAAACTGCTTTGAAATAAAGCTGTATCTGTCTTTTTTTATGCAGTAATCTTGGCAGCTTCAAATGGCAAAACACTGGTGTCAGTAATTCCATCTCAGATGTTTAAGCAGTGTTGCAAATGGGGAAATGTAGTCACTGAAGATGATTTTAAACTCACAAATTTAAGACCAAGAGGACTCCTGCAACAATTACTTTGTGCTGTGTATTTTCTATCATCTGTTGGAGATGCAGCAAAGCAGTTCTGAATTTGTACAAGTGGGTCTTAATAGCTTCACTAACATGCTGTGTGTTTCCTTGCAGATGGTTCCACCAAGGCCCCAATCCCCACACTGGTACACAGGACTGGCTTTACTCTGGCAACTACTGGGACAGAAACTACTTTAACTTGCCTGATATTTATTAAAATGCAGTAAGGAGCCTCTGACTGATACAAATAAGTCTTAATCTGTTTTGATGTTTTCCCTTGTTCTACTTATCTCCTGAAAATACTGACATGTTATCAAACAGAATATTAAGCATCTCTGCAATAAATCTGGTGGTACATGATCTGCAGTCCTAAAGGTAGGGGAATAACTTTTCTGGCTGATGGTGGGTCCTGCATGGACAAAGTTGCTGTGGTTTCAAGCTGCCCTGAGTACACCTATATTAGGTTGTGGTGTATGAGGAATAGAACACCTTCAGCTGTTCTGTGAATACTTTATTTTGTAGATAACATTGGCACAAGTAAAACTGGTTTTATTTATTGTGACATGGGAATGTTTAAAAAGCACACAAAGTAATCGCAATATTTTGCTCCTAAATGAAGAAAAGGGTGTCACTTCTGTAAAGATGTAATTTTTTTCATAAAATGACTTTTACTAAAGTAATTCTCTTGAAGCCTGAGCTCTGCTCAGGAGATTCCAGAAGTGTTCCCATCTCTGGAGGAGTAATGCAGTTGTTTAAGCTGGTAACATTACTCAGAGGTTATTTATTCAATGTTTTGTGCAGTGTGTTTTGAATTTTGCTCTCCTATTTTGCTACCAGCCTTATGATTTAAGGAATTAAGAGCCATTTAAATATCTACAGATTTGATTTGAACTGCACACTAGTAACAGGTTTTAAAAGAATCTGTTTCATGCACTAGAAGTTCCGGTGCCCAGCACCACTGCAAGAACCTAATAAGTCCAGGAATGACCTGGTGGAACATGGCAGGGGGACAGGACTGTGTCTGTACTGTGCAAACTCCCTGCCAGGAAGTCTTGTGCATTTCAAAGGTAGTACAGCACCTCAGTGAGGCCTCCTGTGCACAGCTGCTTTACCCCTTTTCAGTGGGGTGCATTCAATCTTAGTCTGTTTATACTGAACTGTGTACAGAGCTTCTAGAGGGCAAGCTGCTCTTTGTACAGTATTTTAACTGCTGTCTGGAGGTTAGTGTTAACTGAGTAATTTAATTGCTACTAAATAAAGGCTTCAAACTTCTTGCATCTAGTCTAAAGTGAGTGGTGTTCAAAAGTGCTGACCCCTTCTGAGGAAGCCTCATCCAAAACCTGCTGCAGTGAGGACAAAGTAGTATGTTTCTCTGTGCTCCAAGGACCTCTCTTCTCCCTAAGCAAGGAAGGGTCTCTTTCTAGGGGGTGGGGAGGGCTGGGAAACTGAGAGCTTCCTGCAGCTTGAGCTTTGAGTGGACTACTGAAACTGTTAATAAGGCAATGAGATGCTTTCTATTTTTATTCTAGGCACTTCTCGCATTACTCAGGTCCTGAAGCTGAGACATATTTGCATAGATAAGGGAAAGCTTTTCCTCGGCAGCCTTTCCTGTAAGGGGCCCAGCTCTCACAGTGACCTGTAGATGCAGGAGTTTAATACCTGTTCTATCTGTAGGAAGCCTCTACTCTGACCAGACCTTCTTGAAATCTATCTTGATTGCAATGCAGCTTCCAGGTGTGATCTGAGTTCTGCAGAGCAGCCTGGCTACTGGGCTAGTGCAGGTCACATGGAACTGAACACCGAGTGCCAAGGAAAGCAAAATTTGGTTCCTGCCTGCCTCCCCATGACTACACCATGTCAGCACAGTGAGAGGCTGGGTGGCTCCTCACTGCAACAGCTCCAGCAGATGTGGCACTTGGCACAGTTCACACAAAGCTAACATTAGGGATGTTCAACATGGGAATGCAGTTCTAATTGCTGTTGCTTTATTTTGAGCATTTGCTTAACATAATCTGATTTATTGCAATGTAACTCCATCCATCCTGACCGTTTCCTGAAGTGCAAACAGCCTCTCTTCTCTGCCAGTTTAAAAATTAACATGAACTCAGTAACTAAGTGTGTAAGAACTACTTTAGGTGCTGCCTAAATGCATTCCAAGGGGAGGGTATTTGTCCACTCTTGAATATTACACAAATGCTAAAAGTTCACAATTCATGTGCATGGCTTAGCTGCACATTCAGCTGCAGAACTAGAACCAGGGCTTGCTGATTGCTCCTCAGGGAATGTAGCAGATCTCCTCCTTGCACCAGAATCTGGCTGTCCAAACATGGCATGGGTAGAAATAGGTTTATAGTCCTGTGTGTTTTGAACATCAGAGCTCACTAGAACAAAAAAGGGAGAATTTCCCAACTTAATTTTTCTTGCATCACATAATTTGGACCAGGTATTTGCGACAGCTGACCATGTTGTTAATCTTTTCCCCTGGAAAAGCTAAACATTGCCCAAAAATAAGGACCCCCACCTCCAGCAAGACAAAGGCTTCATGGTAATTTTTACCTTGTCTCAACTAAGTTAGACAACAGAAGGTCCTTAAATTAGAATGTGGTGGATGTCCCAGGCAACTGAGGCTAAAAAGGCAGAAACAATTGTTGGAATCGAGAAACGTTAGTTGAAATCATATTATAAATCTTTAGGTCTTAAACAAACACACCTAGACCTAGGGAAAGCAAGCATGATACAGAAGGGATCTGGGACAGCAAACACTATATGTTATGTGGGTGACAAACACCTGCAACCTAGAAAATAAAATAATAATGTAAAAATAAAATGCTGTCAGAGCAGAGGCTATTTTGTCTGGTATTTCTGAAACTGAACTTTGACAAACTTGCCTAAAAGCTTAGGTTTTTCTACAAAAAGCCACTGTTAATCTAGAAATCTACCTAAGCACAACTCTCCTTTACAAAAGGTTCTGCTGTTCCAGAGAGGGGGGCAGCAGGACAGCTCCACGCTGGAGGATTTTTCCAGCTGGGCAAGGACTGAGCTGGGCACATGTCACCACAGCAAAGAGATGCTGGTGAACCTCACCTAGAAAGATGGGCACCAGTTCTCCTGCTCTTTGTGGAAGTATGGCTGCAGAAGCTCACCAAGTCCAGCTACCACAGGCACCCACCACAATTTTTTTTTTCTAAGTGGAAAAACTTAGGTCACTGCTGGAATAAATTATCTTTTAGTCAAGGAGAATCAAAACTAGGGCTCCAACTAATCACCCTTCCTTAGCCACAGGGCACATGGATTACATCATAAGTCCCTAACACCTGCTTCAGAAAATACAGGTTTTCAGCAAGATAATTTGGCATCCATGGCCACTTTCCCATCACTCTTACCTGCCTCTATGCTTTCAGGGGTACAGAGTCCTGGCCAGAGCCACATTTCTTGGACCAAATGGCAGTGAAATCTACACAGGCATTGGGGCCAGGCAGACAGTGTTGATTCAGTAGCTTCTTAGAAGTCACCGCTAACCCTGCATTGCACTGAGGAGAGGTGATCTTCCATTTATTTACCACTTAGTTGTAGAGCTAGAAGCTGGAAATAGGAAGATGACATGAATGCCCAAACTTTCTTACCTGACAAGACAAACATGCTCAGTTTGATTCCAGTTGTGCTGTAGATTCTGTTTTCTCAGGATGCCAAATAAATCATCATCAGATGGACCTACAGTTGCAGTACTTGAGGCCCAGCCTGCATTTAATGGCTGCTTCATCTTTAACAGATAATTTGTCTGGTCTACAAAAGGAATTACTTTGAAAACTGCTCTATAAAAGATGGAACCTCTACATCCATAATCATTTCATCATCCCAACACAATGCTACAACCTCACTGGTTGAGGTAACCTTGGTTTCACTGCAGAAAGGTACACCCTGTAATGGATCATTAGGACTGGGTGACGGCAGAGGAGAAAGGTGATCAGTCTCTGTAAAACCAGCACAGTAGCAGAGAAGGCAAGTCTTTCAATTCATCATCACAGCACTGAGCTGCTTTCTGAATGACATCAGAAATTATGAGAGACATTATTTGAAGCATTAGAGCTAAATCCTCTCTGAAAAAATATTATTCTGCCTGCCAGCCCAAGCCAAGTCAGGCCCATTTATAACCTGTCTCTTGGGCAATGCCACAGAAAGGCATTCAGATGACAACTTCTCAGTTATGTAGCCACACTCTCATCATATTTGAAAAGTCATGGCAGTCAGGCAAAGTCCCCAGTGACTGGAGAGAATGGAGTATCACATCTGTTTTTAAAAAAGGTGATGAGGACTGTAGGAGCTACCAACCAGTCAGCCTGTGCCTGGTAAGATCATGGTACAGATCATCCTGGAACATACTTCAAAACATATGAAAGACGGAGAGGTCATTAAAGACAGCCAATACGAGCTGCAGCTTCGCCAAGGGCAAACACTACCAGACTGATCTAGTGGCTGATGGAGTGGCTGCATTAGTGGACAAGGGATGAGCTACGGATGTCATCTACCTGGACTTCTGGAAGGTCTTTAGCAGTCCCTCCCAACATTCTAACTGCTAAATTGGAGATATATGGGTTTGATGGATAAAGTGGCTAGAAGGGTGGAAACTAGCACTAAGTGGACCCTCAAGGGTCTGTACTGGGACCAAAACTATTGGTAACAAGTGTGTAGCAGACTCCTTACCATCTCTTCAATGACAGCAGGATCAAGTGCACCCTCAGCAGGCTTGCACATGACACCAAGCTGAGTGTGGTGCAGTTGATTTACCAGAGGGAAGAGATGCCATCCAAAGGAACCTGGACAGGCTTGAGGACTGAGCCCAAACAAGCTACAAGAAGTTCAGCCAAGGGCAAGTGCAAGATCTTGCATCTGTCCACAGCATTCACACATTCCCATGAGCTGCTGCCTTTTCCCCCTCCCACTTCCATGAAACCTGCTCCTGCTTTCTGCTGCTGACTTGCCTAATGCCCAATACAGGCAGAACCCTTCTAGGCAAACACCTTTGCCAAAACCTGTTTTCCCCACTAGCAGCCAAGCCAGACATTTCGTCCCAGCACAGGATGAGGGCAATTCTTCCCTCAGCCTCAGGCTATGATGCCATCACACAATCTAATGCTGCAACTTGTGGAAAGCAGAAAGGCTTCGGCTACATCCCACCCCTTTGTAGTGAAGAGGTGGGTGCACAGACCATCCCCTGCTTACAGCCTGGCCTTTTAACACAGGCAACATACAAAACGCAATGGATCTGAACTGCAAAGTACAGCACCTGAGAAGCAATGCTCCTTGTCGGCCTCTAGCAGGGGCTCAGAAGACACAGCTGGAGACTGTAATGTCTTTAGCCACACCCCAAGAGAAACAAGGTTATCCCTTCGCAATGGCTTTGTTTGTACTGCAGAATCTTACGACTGCAAGGGCAAAGCCTGAAACAAACCTCACCTGCCCAGGTGATTGGGGCAGGTGACATTCGCTTCCCAACACACGTTATTAGTAGGTACACAAAAGATCACTTTCTATTCCAATACAACAAGCACAAAAAGGGTTACCATGTAGTGCTGTATTTTCAAGGTTACCACTGTGTTTTGGAGGACTGTGAAAACAGAAAGACCACAGGGGCAAGGCATGATCAGGAGTCTGCTGAGGGGTAGAAACTTTAACCACAAATATTGCTGCAGATCAGCCTTCATTATAATTGGAAAACCATCATCTACCTACCTGCTCTGGCATTCTTGGATGTCTGCTTCGCTACACAAACTGGAGAGGAACTCCAGCAGTACTGAAGATTTAAAACTCATTGGTGCTAAAGCATTTAGAAAATCTGTAACAGTTTATTTTTAAAGTAACATACTTGCAGCAGAACTCTCTGCTAATTTTGAATAAACTTTCCAGGTCATTCAGAGGAAAGTATGCTAATGTATACTCACCACGAAATGCTTCTTGAATCTGTAGTAATTTCTCAAGAAAACTCACATTATCTTTTCAGTTTCACTGGAGAGTGACAACACAGTTGATAGCATTTAAAATGTTCAATATTCTTATTTTGTGACTTGTGAAACTAGGAAGAAGAGCTTCCTATAGAAAGAATATTTCAATAGTATATATATGAGAAGTAGAAAACGCATGATTTTTGGAGTAGGGAGAGCAATCCAAAGTCTAGATTTCTGTACTGAGAGCATATGGAAACAACATGCCTTGATAAAGGCATTACACATACCTGAATGCAAAGGTAGCCATGATTACTTTGAAACCATCCTCAATGAATACAGAGGAGAGGAGAACTTGCACATTTGCTTCTCCGCAAAACTTTTAGAACTCCTGGTCTGCAAAGCTGTGCACAGCAAAAGCTTCAAAGATGCTTAAGTACAGATGTCATAAACCACAGAAAAATCTATTACCAGAGGTGACAGAACTGAAGCATAAACCTCCACAAATATATGAAAAGGCTGCAGGACCTAACATAACATTGTGTGTGTCTGAAACTAAAGAGCAGCTCTAGGAAAAAAAATATGTCTGGAAACTAATTCACTGTGCTGGGACTTAAATGCTGGTTTTGTAAGCCATCAAGAGCAATGTACCAGGTACTTTCCTAACACACATCACCCTTCGGCCCCATAGGGAAGGGCCTGTCAGCCCATGAGCAGCCTGCCCAACTGAGGTCATTGCCTTGTCCTACCACCTTTGCCCCCCTGCAAAAGTAACAGCTTCCAGACAATGTTGAAATCAAAAAGCCTGGGCAGAAGTTCAGCAAATCAAGGTCCCAGATAAGCTTTATTTTTCAAACAGAAAAGGAATTGGGTCATTCATTAACTGGGAAGACATCTATGTCCCAGCAGTACAACTACCTTTTCTCAATACAGTAAACATAGTACTTTTAGTGAAAGACGGGGAGGTTGTTACTACAAAAATTATTTTACTTAGCAAATTCTGACAATCTCTTTCTCCCTTTCTTCTCAAATCCTCAGGTCAAACAAATAATTTTTTTTCCTTTTAGCCTCTTTCCCTCTCCCACCTGGGCATCTGAAATGAAAGAACACTGACCAACAGCCAGTCCTGCTGAGTTTAACAGGTTACTTGACTGGAACACCATCATAGAATAAGACGCATCAAAGATAAGCAGCATTTTGGAAAAAACAGCAATGGAAAAATTAGGGCTAACAGTAAGACAACTGTACATGAACTCCTCATGTCTGACTCTCACTGGTGGTGAAAACACAGGGAGTTCAGTAGACTGTGAAGATCTTGGGCACTTGTGCAAAGGGGTTCTAAGCAGAGGCAGGGAAGAAATTTGCAATTAATATGCACCTTCCCTGATAACCTGTGATGGGTCCAGTTGTGGGTCCAAACACACATCAAAAAAGTGATCAGATATAGAAATAATTCAACATTTAATTCACTTTTCCTTTGTTCTCTAGGCTGCCTGCAAAGCTTCTGACACATGCCACTGGCTGTCTAATTGCCTTAAAATAAAAAGATAAGCATAAATTTACTTAAGATTAGCTTTAACATTTAGGATCCCATTTGTTTGGGATTGCACAACTTCTAATGAAAGTGTTTCCTACCACTGTTGGTGTTTCATAATGATTGCTGGAAAGGGAAGTTGAGTGCTGTACAGGCTGCTCTGCTTTCACCCCACTGCAAGGTTTGATCAGCCTTACACCAACCTAACACCTGCTCCTGTTCAGACTTCAGCAGGTACACAGCAGTTCTTAAACGCAAGTACAATCAATGGCTGGAAAGACAATCACATTGTTGCAAACTGAAAAGCAATTCACTACAGCATTTGGGGAATTTTATTTAGGAATAACGCAAACTAGAATATGAAACAAGCATTCAAAGTCAGGGAAGAAATTAAAGTGCTTGCTTTAGAATAAATAAGAAACACTTTTCAAAGGTGTAGGAATGCAACAAATACTATTGTATGTGGTTCTTTTTCTTCAGTGACGAACAAATGAATTGATGTCTTAAAAATGTACCTTAAAGCTCATTCACTGTACAGTTGAGCTCAACATGATATAACTCACTTGCTAATCCAGGAGACTGTATGGAAGAAAAAAGGCTGGAGGTAACTGCTGACTAGAAAACTTTGTTACAGAGTCACTTAACATCCCAGAAGTTTTCCCAGTACTTGGTATCATCTTGTTCAGGAGGGCACCAACTAGAAGTCAAATTCAAGAAGCAAAGGAACAAAATTCATGTCCACATTTCTTTTAATTTTACTCAGAAATATAAAAGTGCAAGTTCTGTAAATTAACAACATTTACAGTACATCACAATAAATATGCCACCTTGTGACATCTAAAAATTCTAGTTATTTATCTGAAATGAGTTGTACTGAGATAAAAACTGCATCAACATCAACAAAAAATACCTGTCCCAGTAAAGATGGCCTTAATATATTAATTAGCAAGATGCATATTCCATTATTGCTATTAGACCATGCCTCCGAGTTCCACTGTATAAAAACTTACTAGTTTACACAAAAGACCATTAATTTTTTTTTCTCATCACGGGCACAATCTAACATAAGAAATAACTTTGCCATATACAGTGTAGGAGGGTCTCCTACAAGGAGAGGGGGAAAATGAAGTAATTAATACAGAAACATACAGTTGTGATGATTTGCTAAGCCCACAGGAAAGCTGCACTTTGCACAGAGTTATTGAACTGTTACATGAACATATAATGTCTTTCTATACCCACTCCTGGCCTGGTGAGAACAGGTGAGGAGGCCTTTTAGTAAATTTACTACAATTTTCTAGCTACCTCCAAGTATGCAGACTCTAAATATCCCAAAACAAATTGCATGCAGGTGCTTTGTGTCCTGAACAGCCAAGTCTCACATCATATTTAAGGAGTGTATTTAAAAAGAATTTTGCCAGTAGCTGCACCATTCCCAGCTATTTACCCAGAATAGACTGTCTGATTGAAAAACATTAGAAGTCAGATAGGACAAAATAAGATTTCAAGTACATTAAAGCCCATTTTTAAAATAATTATTTGAACTCTAAGCAGTCACTATATACATATACAATATATCATTTTCTACTCAATATTTATTTGGATTGACCAAATAAGGTTGAACACTCATTTATGACTCAGTATTACTGTTGAAGTGGAACACCTAGATTATAGAAAAATAAAACTGCTTTATAAAGAATTCCTCCTCTCTTTCAGGAACTGCAACAGAAGCGTTAAACTGCTCTAGGAATGCCCTTCATAGCAGAACTGTGTCTTTCTAGAGAGAAAAAAAAGTGTCTCAACTATTTTATTTGGCCTACCAAATAGGACATTACTTCTCTCCTCCATATCAGTCTTGCTTTAAGATGTAACCTCAAAAGCAAATCAATGAAGGTTAGGTGTGGGCAAAGTCTAGAACTTTGGCAACAGGCTCTACAAAAAGGTAATAAGAAACAAACAAACAAACAAAAAGCTTAAGCTAAGGAACTGTTTAAGGCAACCTGACCAAAGTAAAGATAAGGCTTTTGGAAAACTACTTCCAAGGATATCCAGTTTTCTTAGCTTTGCAAAGTAACATAATTCAACTAACTTTATGGTCAGATTTCCATTCATAAGCTTCTTTAAAAAAAATATTTACCTTCCTAGAATATTAGCTGAATATAAAACATAAGGAAATACTACACATTACAGACAAAAGCAAAAAAAAAAAAAAAAAAAAAAAAAAAAAAAAAAAAAA